AAATTTTGCACCAGCACTTACATACAAACTAAAACCGAAATAAAGCAGTGCTGAGAGATCTTTACTGAGAACTAAATTTGTAGGAGTAGAAAATAGTCCTGGTGCCATATGGAATTCTCCCTCCTCCTCCCTCTCTGAATTAATGCTCTCTGAGTGAGCAGAGACCCACATCGCGATTCTGGCACCATGGGTTACAGGACCATGTGGGCCTCGTGCGCTCGCCAAATTCAAACAGCATGCTCGAGTGCTTCCTAAATAATCAAAATCTGTCAATGCTGACCTGGCCACAATAGCCAAACTGCAACAACTGACATTTGGGCCCCTTTTGAAGCATAGTCATAGAGCCATATAAAATTTTGATTGAGTCTATAGAGTCTGTATACTTTCCATCAACAAATGCTTTCAGAGCAACTACAGAATGTTGGGGGAAATCCCATTTAACGGAATAAGGAAGTGTAGAGTGCTTTTATTAAACTTTTATTAGGTATGTGTGGAAGGTCACACTTTTTTTCATGTAATGAAGTTAGCACGCTGGTAGAGGAGGCACCGTCACAGTACTGGGTATCGGCATCAGGTTGATGTTAGCGGAAAATGCTGGACTGGATATCAGAGGGAAAAAAAGAACAAACCGATCCAATCCAGCCTGAAATAGCACCACTCATATTGTGTGATGTCATGTAGTCAGTGGGGAAACAACACAGCACAACACATTCTGTGAAATAAAAAAAAAATATTTTAGTTTATTTTTATATAATAGTATCATCATGCTGGTTGCATTTAAACTCTGCCTATTAGAGTAGTACCCCAATGGAAAATTGTCCAATCAGGATATTTCTTTGGTATCCAGGTAGATACAGCCAGGCGAGCTCTTCCATTGGTTAGGACTTCAGGCGTTGAACCAAAAGCCAAATTAACCACTTATATAATTAGAAACTCACAATAGAATCAACCAATCACATTTTACTTTTCAATTAGTGCGAACAATTTCTTGAGTAAAAAAAACATATCTTGAGAAAAAATAGATGTTAATTTCGTTAATTTTCATAGAAACATAGAAATTTTAGAGTCTCATCTTCACTGCATCATACAGTCATGTGTGAATGTTTAGGTGCCCTGGTCAAATGACATTTCATTAAAATGAAAATAAGTTAATACATTATCTACTGAAAACACACTCTGCACATTTCAACATGCAATCACTGATTATTTGCTGAGTTTAACATAAAACAAGAATGTGGCTTGTGCACAAGTTACGGCACATTTGTTTTATGTAATATGTCAAACTTCAAAGTTCGCAGTGGAGGATTATCAACTTATTTTTACTTAGAAAAGCAACAAAACATGTAATTTGACAGCTTTTGCATAGAACTCTATACCAAAAAAACCCAATAATATATACATACAGTTATACAGTTTAAGTTAAATGTACACTTTGAAAGTAAAATTGTATTGAATTGAATGAAACTGAACGTCATCTACTTAACTGAAAATGGCCTGTGGTGTCATTCTTTAATTTACTTTAAGAAACTGGCTGATCTAAAACTCAAGCCCACAGCTTGGAGAAATGGCATTTTCAAAGCCAGTGTTAATATGAGTCATCATGTCCTGCTTTTTTATGGTTATTAAGACCTTCAGAAGCACAGGCGTCTCTCCACAGTAGCCTTTCCCTTCAGGCTCAGCATATGCCTTCATCGTGCCGTTGAGTCATGATGAGATTAGGACAGAGTGGGATTTTCACGAAGAGCGAAATAAAGATGCGTATTTTGAGCCTCCCCGTGAGTAATCTGATCTAATGAGACAAATGCTTTATGCTGGGCTTGACAAAGGCAGGATGGTCCTCAGACTAGTGTAGGTGTCTCAACATGCGCCTGAAATAGCACTTAGCCAGACCGTGAAATCACCACAGTGACATTTATGTAATATAACTTCTTGAGCCCAAGAGTCATTACTTAGTTATTAATCTTAAGATCTATTGTTCAGTAAGTGCTATGAGTTATTGAATTATTTAGTAAGTACTAACTTCTAACCCTCAGAGGTAAAGATTAAAGGATAAAGGTACATTTTTGCATCTTAAGAGTTAAGATGGAGTTGACTGGAGCTCATTTTCTTCTCAAAAGCATTGTTGAGCAGATTTTAATCTTTAATCTAAGCTTGCGATCAAGTGTGGTATTATGTTTTCTTTGCTTCGTAAAATATAACAAAAACTTTCCTACCAATACAATCCCTAGAGCAATGAACTGTTAGAACAGTCGAGAAGCATCGGCTGATTATGTTAAAAAGTCTAAAAGTAACTGTTGACATTTTTATTTTCCCTGTTTTCACATGCGGTTGGAATATTTGCCATCTTTTAAATGCATTCTGTTTCCTGAAACAACAGTAGAAGCATGCGACCATTACAGTCTTCTACACAATGACACGCCAAACAATCCGCTCTCCAGGGAAAGATGGATAGGGAGGACATTTCCGAACAAGGCTGAAGGATTGACTGACATGAGGTTTATAAATAACTCAGAGAGAGAGTGTGTGTGTGTGTGTGTGTGTGTATGTGAGAGAGTATGTGCATGTGTTTGTTTTTGTACACTTTCAGAACAGAAAATGTGACTTTGTAAAGTGCTTCAAATAAAAGCTACATATTTCATTTTAAAAACAAAAAATAGCAAAACCATGTCTTTTAGTTACAAGAACAGTACTGTGCAAAAAGAAAATGAGATGTACAGCCATTAATCTGGACAGTAAACTGCTGCTTCAAACAATACAAATAAAAAATACCTTGTGATTTTCTGAGTGTCAGTAATAGGTTTTCAAGCCTCTCCTTAAAGAAGTCCAGTATTTACATTTACCATCCAATATCTGTTTCACCTGACAAAACTGATATGTAGCACACGTTGACGTTAAACAATACCAGGCTGCAAACCTGAACATCAACCATTACCATTCGGAAAAAATGCTGAGTCTGTATATGACTCAGGTTCGAACATATGCACTCTCACAATGCAGTGGTCCACTGCAGCCATTTTTGAGCCACAGCAGCACAATGACGCACCTGTGCTGTCCAGTCTCACCCCCCACAGAGTCGGATAATGAGAGTCTTCTCATTCGAATATAGACTCAACACCCAGAAAATTACCCTTTCTTCACAGATAAGAAAAAGCTAGGTTAAAACACACTATGCACAATGTGTTTTTTCCCTGCTCATTACATGTCTTTCAAAGAGCACAAGGAAATATGTTTAACTGAGAAAATAAGAGGAAAATATGTCTCCTTTAACAAATCCATGCAATGGCTGGAGTTGCAGTGAGACGTCAGGAACCGAACTTGTGTTCTTCTAACTGTGTTCTCACTATAATTTTAAAATATTGAAAAAAATAAATAAACAAAAAGTCTTGCAGTGTACTTGTGTATTTATGTTTATTTGTATTTATATACATATAACTAATATCATGCAGTGTTTTACTGGCAAAACACTCTTACTGCTATAACAAATAGTTTTAAATCGACTTTTGCAAAGAACTGAATTCAGTACATCTCTAATAAACAGCTGTTTCTGTCCATCCTTCCACTGTGAGAAGACAACTCAGTGCTCTGGGTCTGAAAGGATGTGTCAGTGTAGCTGTCAAGAAACTTTTACTGAGAGAAGAAAATTTGGCTGTTTCTCTGAAAGTGAAAGAAATGAAGATTGTGCTCTGACTTTTGCACTGTACTGTATAGTACTTATGGGACTTACACGTGACCCAATGTCCTGACAATGTATGAAACAAACGTGTGTGTGTGTATGTATGTGCACCCAACTGTATGTGAATAAACCCCTCAGGGTGACCCTCATCTGTGCCATACATACACACACACACTCCTATTCACCTTCCCCAGAGAGCAGACTGTATCCAGTGCATGTTTGTATTGAAATGTTAGTGAATTTGGGAACGATGCTGAAAGCAGGACAGAAAGAAGCCTCCATTTAAAATGTGTTAATGATCATGTTCACACATGACATCCACTCACACTGCACTTCACACACACACACACACACACACACACACACACACACACACACACACACACACACATCTACACATGGTAGACCCGTTTGTGCCAGCACACACAGAGCAGCCCCCTTCCCTCCTCTCTTTAACTCAACCTTCTTGTCTCTCTTTCCCCTTTCTGTCTTCCTATTTTCCGTTGCACTCGATCTCTCTCGCTCTCTCTCCTTTTCTTATGCTAGGTTGCTTTGTCGATACAAGAAGTCTTTTTTCTTTCTCTGTAGGAGCTTCTCTCGCACTCTCTCTCACTCTCCCTCCTGTTTCCTCTCTCTCTTTCTCTCTCTCTCTCTCTCTCTCTCTCTCTCTCTCTCTCTCTCTCTTTCCTTTTCCTCTCTTTCTCTGTCTCTTCCATCTCTCTCGCTTTCTCCCTCTCTTTCTCGGTCCTTTTTCATCTCTCTCGCTTTCCCTCTCTCTGTCTTCCTCTTCTTTCCCTTTTGTCCTGTCTTTCTTTCTACCCCCTCTCTCACTCTCACTGTTCTCTCTCACACACATCTCTTTTCTCTTCCTCTCTTTCTCCTTCTCTCCCCTTCTTTCTCTCTCTCCTTCCCCTTCCCTTTTACCTTACTCTTTCTCTCTCCTTCTTACTCTCTCTTTCCTCTTCCCTTTTCCTCACTCTTTCTCACTCTCCCCTTCCTCTCTCTCAATCTTTCTCCCCTAATCTCTCTTTCTCTCCCTCTTTCTCGCACTTCTCCCCACCCTTCCTTTCTCTCTGTCTTTCCCCTCTCTCTCCTCTTTCTCCTCTCTCCCTACACTTCCTTTCTCTCTCTCTCTTCCCCTCTGTCTCTCTCCCCCCCTTCCTCTCTCTCTCTCTCCCTCTCTCTCTCTCTTTCTCACTCTCTCTCTCTATATGCCGGTGCTGTGTGTGGTAGTTAAGGGGAGTGGAGTGCAGGCTTTGGAGTATTCCTCCTCCTCCTCCTTCTTCTTCTTCTCGCTTCTAAAGACAGGATCATGTTCTATTTCCAGCTGGTGATCATGGCGGGCACCGTGCTGTTGGCGTATTACTTCGAGTACACGGACACGTTCCCCGTTCACGTCCAGGGCTTCTTCTGCTACGACAAAGCCTTCTCCAAGCCGTACCCGGGCCCAGATGAAAACAGCAAAGTGCCGCCGGTCCTCGTCTACTCGCTGGTCACTGCCGTCCCTACCATTACGGTGAGTACACAGCACGCTGTGCTCTCTCTCGCTCTCACTTTCTGTTTATCTCGCTCGCTCACTGTGGTGTGCTAATGGGTTGGGAGAATGAACGTGTGCGTGGGTGCTGATGCTGCTGGTTGAGCGCGGATAAAAGGATAGACTCGTATGTGTGAGTAGGTGGGCGGCTTATTGCGAGGGTGTGTGTGTGTACGCATAAGAGAAAGAGAAAGAGAAAGGCTCTGTGTTTGACTTACAACTTACATGTCGATGCTGGACGATATATCGCCTTGTATACCGGTATCAGTGTCATTCAACGATGTTGAATTTTGGTCCTAGATATTTTATATAAGTTTGGGTGTAGAAGACTACATCCATTATAATATTCTGATCCCCGGGTGTGCAAAATGAGTATATTTATTGTGATAAATAAAAAATAAAGCGTTCTTTGAGTGATGCCATAAAAGAACTACTTTTGGTTCCTCAAAGAACCTTGATTGAAAAAGAGGCATGTGAGTGTGAAAAACTATTTAAAGCTTTAAAGAATCATCATTTAATGTAAAGGTTCAATGCTAATTTAAGGGTTCTTTCTAGAACCTTTACACTGGATGGAGGCTCTTAACTTTAGAAAGGTTCTTCACACTCACATCTCATTAAAAAAGTGGTTCTCTAAAGAAGCCTCTCCAGGAAGGGAACCAAAAGTGCCCAACAAACCTTTTTTGGCACCTTTTTTTAAGAGGTATACTTCACAATATGCTTTCTGAGTGCAAAAGTTTGAAAACCCCTGGTCAGATTAGATGTTTTGTTGATTAACATAAGTTACCGTGTCCTGTACAGAGAATGCACTTAAAAATGGCATTTTTATGCAAATTGTACTGCACCATTTCTCTTTATTTGCTGATTTTAATATGATGGAAAAACATAAAACATACAATATGAAATATGCCATAAATTTCATACATTCTTTACAATGTTTTAAATCCAGAAAATAAACAGTAATCGTGCATTAAAATGTACAGAGGTGTGTTCTCTGTATGTAAACACCAAAACATTTTTATAAGACTGGATATTGTGGATATTGTCAGTATGCTAACAACTGGATGTTTCATTACAAAGAGAGTACAGTAACAATGAAAAAATCTCTTTAAGTCTTGTAGAGTTAAATTTTTGTCATATCGCCCACCCCTTGGTGCCATGCTAGTGGAAATACACTATGTTAGCCTTCACTCTTAAAACAAAGAGGTTAAAAACACTTTTATTTTGTCCTTAACTAGACACCACATCAATGTGTTCAGCTAAGGACAACACGTTTTTGTGCTACTTTTAACACAAAATGTTTTAAAATACCTCTGTGCCTAGTTAAGGATGTCACAGTTGTGTGTTAAAAGTGACACAAAATGTGTTAAAGCAGGTAACACAGGTGGGTGTGTTGTAATTTCACTTTTTAGAGTGTAAATTTCACTTTTTAGAGTGTAATTTTCACCTTAAGCGCTGGTGTATAGTTTTACATATAATCCCATAAAAAGAAGCCACAAAGTGCTGCAGTAGGTTTTTTTGTTTGTTTGTTTTTTTTTTGTTTTTTTTTTGAGTTGCAAAAAGTTGAACTTTGAAAAAGTTTGAAAACTTTTATTAGACAACCAATCAGTTTGCATGATTGAACACACCCAAGCTGAAGGGTAGAGTGCTGGTGGAAAATAGCCTGATGTGGGAGTCATAATCTTGTTAGTGAATGAATAAAAGATGTTTTATGATGTGTCAAATCTTTGCTTAATTTTTTGGCACCAAAACCAATGCTGGGGCCGTCAGCCTCCCCTTAGCTAGGCTGAATGTTGAACATACATCTAATCTAGATCTAGATAGCTAGCTAAGGTAAAACACATGCTAACAGCTGTATTATAATGGTTATAGTGGTTATAATGTGCTTGTTGTGTAAACCACTTTTTAAAAATAGTTCAGAGAAGAAAAACAGAACAAAATAAGTGCTAAAACCCGCTACCTCAGGTTTAAGACGTTCTCTTAGCAAAGAGTGGCAGCACTCAGGAAACATGGGTTCCCTAATTATATTAACTAGGGATGTACCCTAGACATTGGCATTGGACTTAATATTTTGACATGCAGGCACAATACACTAGTAGTGCCACTTTTAAAAACTGCCATCAAAAACTCTGAGTAGACTGACTTTTATTCACTGCACACAATCTAAATAAACAGGACTAATTAAGCTCTCTTTGTAATTAAGCATGTAGTTGTTCATTACTCTTTAAGTACTAGCGATGATCGTGTTATGTTTACCACTATAACAAAATTTATCACAATATTGGTACAGCATCATCATATTGCCCACCTCTACCCCAAGGACTACTGCACATGTGCTGTGACTAATGTACTGCTTGCATTTGATGTTTGTTTACCTAAATAGGTATGAATAGGGTTAATGGTGTTCCTTTCGCTAGTGTCTTCGTGTTGTGTAGTAAGCTGCAGGTAACAGATTGTAAAACCGCATGGATTTACCTCCCACCTTTTGCAGGGTGTGTTACTTGACTGTGTGAGGTGTGTGTGAAGGGCGGGGGAGGAGGGATGAGTGTGTGTGTGTTTGTATGCTAATGAGAGAGTTGGCCAGAGTAGTGCTGAAGCCCGGGGAGAGGTGTGTACGCGTGCGGTTGTGTGCGCGTTAGTCTAAATGTGTAAATGCGCACATGCAACCAAAGTGAAAATAGACTGACAGACAGAGCACAGCTGATAGTAAGCAGAGAGATCTGAGATAAGATAGAGGGAAGAGTAAAGGAGTAAAATGAAAAACATCAGATACCAAGGTATCCTTAGGGCACGTGTAAAAGAAATTTGAACAAAAATAGCAAAGGAGAGACAGACCTGGATGCTGTCAGAGTCCGCCTATAGGGAAAGAGAGAGAGAGAGAGAGGGAGAGAGAGAGAGAGAGAGAGAGAGAGAGAGAGAGAGAGAGAGAGAGAGAGAGAGTCAGAGAGAGAGTCAGCAAGCATGAAATATGCAGCACCTGGTGCAAGCTCTCTGCCTGCTAGGGCATTCACAAAACCAGAGTCAGACTCAATCAATCAAAGACAGAGACCCAGCAAAAGCTCGGCAAGACTCAGCTGATCAAACATTGAGTTTTTGTCCACAGACAAAAATCCCCAGTAGGTTACAGTTTTAGTTATCTGTTGGAGTCTTCCATATAAAACTTGTTCCTTGCTTCAGACATGAGGCTCATTTCATTTAGACATCAATTCAACTAGCTAGCCAAGAAAACATTTTAGCAAAGTTAAGATTGTAAGTTTTACCTTTAGAAAAATCAGTGATATTGGCATTTGTGAGTTCAGAATTCAGAGCAAACAGAAGGTCATACAGAATCAAACTGGACTTAGTTCAATAATCTAAAAGCATAAATATACAATAGTTTAAGCAAGGTCTTTAATAGACAAAAATAGTTCAGAAAGATGGTGCAAACATTTCGGTCACACAAAATCTCGGTGCATCATCTGCTCTGAGGAAGGTCTTGTTTGACTTCAAACCACTAAGTTTTCATTTTGTGCAGGAACAAACTGGTCCCCAAGCCAGCACAGCCTTAATTGGATAGAGCACCTGTTTTGGTGCTTTGTGGGCCTCCTTCACATATGATTGTGACCGGTGGTGTAGTGTGGTCTGACTACATACTGACTCTTTTTACCAGGCTGTTTCCATATATTGACATCTAAAGATGTGTTTTTGCATATACCTGGTTATATTTTTTATTTTTTTCAAGACCATATTTTACCTCACAAGTCAGGGAGAAAAGAAACATCACATGCCAGTTTCACAGTTTTGCACAATGTGATTGGTCAGGCCTATGATTAATAAACAAGGTTGACTGGTTCATTGTCTGGTCCGTTTCTACGGATACCACCGCGGGACACCACCGTATTTGAGTCTCCTGCGATCAGTCACGGACATGCTGGTATGATTTGAGGTAAGGATAGACTCATTGTGATTGAAAATTCCTGTGAATGTTAATTCTGATAAATATTAGCATGATGCTGGGTGTTTCCTGCCTTCCACCCAGTGAGAACTGGGATAGGCTTCAGCCCCCCCTCCCCATGCCCCCAAACCCCCCACCTGAAACATTTATAAACAAGAGGGCCTCCACTGATGTCAGGATTTAAAAAAACAATGAAATTCTCAGGTATAACCATTTATTTTGTGATTTTTAATGTTATATCCATCCAAAAATGGGTGAGGAAGAGAGAAAGAAACACAGAATTTGTTTATGTGAACACATGAATCTCTTAATCTCTTTCCCGGCAATGCAAATCCATACTGCACCAGTGTTGTACAGTGAACTGTATGCATAACAAATATCTGTTTTCCATATCTGAAAACATTAAAGTTAAAATATCTCTCTGTGTATAGCCCTGCATAGTCACCTCTCTCATTCTTGTTTCCCTGTATATAAAGTTTATTTGTTGACCTTGTCAACTTTATCAACCATGCCTTAGCTGGAATGTGCGTTTCAAAGAGCCCTTCTAAGAGCCTCTTTTAACCTCTTAAAATCCCAAGTTTATCACATACTAAGGCTTATTATTCAGTAACTACATGGACTACACTGCAAGCTGGCTGAGTCATGCCTTGGTTATAGATGTGTATAGTAAACATTTGGAGTGGGTCTTGGTCATTTAAGGGGTTACGGATCTTTATAAGCAGTGTGTGTGTTTGGCAGTTCAACATAGGAGAAAACGTGTTGTTTTAGAATCCTGTTAACACATTTGTTAGTCCTGTGATTCATCGTTATCAGGAAAGCCACAACTGAGCTACCTTTTTAATTAACATCTTTAACAGCCTCTCTCCTCCCAAATCAACCTGCTGGATCCATCACTACTTTTATAAGCCTGTGTCTGCTCACTAAAACATTATCCAGCATTCATGTAGCAACGCTTTAAATAAGGTTATTCATGTCACTGCTGGATGTGCATCCAGGGAATACACATGCGGGGAACGCTGGACTGGCCAGTTGGATGGATGAACAAATGAAT